GCCTAGCTTCAAAGGGCGCATTTCCATAATTGCCCTGTAACTTTGGCAAAATAAATCTGAGCGGCTGAGAAAAGCACAATCTCTCAGATGAGTGCACTCCAAAGGCCCCGAGGGCTGTGGGCCCACTTGTTAGCGGCCTAGCGCAGTGAGAGAATGCGCGGCTCGCCACCCAGCACAAAAGCCATGAAATCACAGCTCTGGCGGCCTAGACGGCTGGTCCCAGAGTAAGACCTTATAGCTGGCCTTTGTCTCTGTCCTGCTCCCTGACACAGACACACACAGACACACACAGACACACAGACACACACACAGACACACACACATGCGCACACACACACACACACACACACTGTACCACACACAGGCACCCTTTCCACAACTGGCACCCTCCTCCCCCACCACACACACACTTCCGAGTGAAATAGCAAGTAAATAAATGGACGCATTTAGGGGCACGGAAGGGCTGGCAGTAGTTAAAAGGTGGCAGTAATTATGAGGTGAAAACCACAGGAGGTAAGCTTTCATCTGTGAGAACTTTCCTGTAACCTGCTCCTGAGAGAAATATCCAGAGAGAAAAGTCAACTTTCCAGACACACAGTGTCTCTGGAATAGTCTCTCTCTCTCTCTTTCTCGTTGGAGTGTACCTGTACCACCCCTGGGGTCTCAGAGGCATTGGGTTGGGTTGGAACCCCCTCTTGCTCTCTCTCTTACCCCTTCCAGGACCAAATGTTTTTAGAGAATGGAAGCAACTCCCTGAGGACCCTGCTCTAATGTTTCCACAGATTTTCCACAGAAGCTGCAGTTTCTGGGGGAAATGCCTGCTGTCATCCTCCCCTCTTTCCCTCTCACAACCCCTTGGCTTTTGTGTCCAGGCACCAATAACATTTTAGACTGAATAATTCTTGGTCGTGAGAGTTGGCTGGGGCCTGGTAGGACCTTTTAGCAACAGCCCTGATTTCTCTACCTAGAAAAAAGCATCCGTTTCTGGTGAAGAGCATGGTGGAAAATGTTTTCTGATGTCTCCCTACATCCCGGAAGTGGGAGGAGGGCCCAGCTGAAGGTCCCTCTTAAGACTCTTCCAGCTCTCTCCTTGGGTACTCAGCCCTTCCATCTTCTGTCAAACCCTTCCCTCTGGAAGAGGTGACTTGTAAGGGTTCCATCATCTCGGGATGGCCTTCAGAGGGGTTGGAACCTTCGACTCATAGAGGGAAGTACAACTGCGTCCGAGCTGGGCTGATTCACACAAGAGAAATGGGCTGTCCATCTGATGAAGTTTGTTGACTGGATCAGATGACAGCAGCCAGCTTGGACGAGAAAGGAATGTCTGGAGAGGAGATGGGGCCCACTCACTCCCAGAATGAGCTTTATGCCCCACCTCAAGCATGTTAGCTTTGCCCGAAAGTTTAGACTAATTAATCTAGTCTGGGCCCCCTTTAATTCAAGAGTGGGTGTTAACCGTGGCCTAGAGAGAAGCTACACCCACCTTGGGTTTGCACCGAAACAGAAACACCATTTCACACAGCCAAGATTGCCCCTTCATAGTCCATGAGAGAAGAGGGGACCACCACCAGGAACTATCTAGAGGGTACAGAGGACATTTCTAGAAGGTTGTAAACAAAGAGGCACAGAATGGGCTCTAGAGAGAAAGTCTCAGCAAACTGGAGAGGATTGAGGACGTCTGCCATATGCCATTCGTTCCTCCAACTCCCCTTCCAGAACTTTGCCCAGCCTGTCCACCAAATCCCTGGAGAACATCAGCCCAGGTGATAGGGGCGGGGGGGGGGGGGGGGAGGGGGAGGGGTGAGGCCCTGCCCTCTCCATGAGTTACCTGTGGCAGGTACATGACTGGAACACCCCTTCCTCCCTCCCAGGGGAGTCAGAGCCCCTGGGCCTGCTTGCCACTTCCTGACTGGGCCCGGCTCCTCCTCCCGATACTCCACCCCAAATCAATTCAATTGGAGACCATTAATGTGCCAGTCCCAGAGGTGGGCCATCACTTAGGGAGATAATTTGATTCTCCTCTGGCTCCCTGGCCCTGTGCGGCACCCCCAGCTCCAGCTCCAGGCCGGTAATGAGGGAAGCGGTGACATGCACCCCTTCCTCTGACCTAATTGATTATCCCCACACACCTGGGAGTGCTTTGCATAACCAGCCCCGACAGCAGGAGCCCCTTCCAGGCCCAGTGATTGACATATTTTATTTCTAATTGAAGCTTAATCAGGACTGAGGATGAGATTTCCCAGATATTCTTAGCCCCTCCCTCCTACCTTCCAGCCCCCACCTCCTAGTGCCCCCCCCCCCCATCCGTCTCCTCTTTTCTTTTCAAATTTGAAGATACAACAATAAAAAATGGAGGCCCTTCCTGGGATCCCCAAGAGGAAAGAGGTGGGTGGGTGGGGTTCACTGCGGGGTGTTGTTGGGGAGAATGAAGACCTGTTCCCTGGTGATACCATTCCTGTCCCCTAAAGGGAACCTGACTCCTTTCCTCCACTCACCTTCTGCTGGAAACCGGATGGGCTTCTCTTATGTTTTCATTACTCTTAGCTTATTGGGGTCAACTGGGAGCCAGCTCTACGGGATAGGGACAAAAATATTCAGGTGCAATTAGCAGGGTGACCCCAACTCTCTGGCACCACCATACCAGGTCATTTCAGTGAGAGGGTGAAGCTGTTCAGAGCCAAGGACTGTCCCCCTGGAACAGGATGGAATAACAGGCCAAGGGCACCCCAGGGGACCCTCTCTATGCTCCTAGTCTCTGTAGTTACCTGCTTCTCCCTTGTGGGGGGGGGGTGGTGACTGTGGGAAAGTCGCAGAGCCCTCTACTGCACCCCCATGGAGTGGGGTGGGTGAGGTATATGGGGTAGGGGGGTTCCTTCTGCTTCCCTTTCTCTAGAGTGGGCTGAGTCCTCAGAGGCCTTCTGTAGCTCCCTCACCTTTATGTCAGGGTAGCAGGCTTTGCAGGAAGGGCTCTGGATTCTGTAATTCAGTGAAAAGTGCAGGGCTATTTAGGGGTGCAGGAGAGGGGCTCTGGGGAAGACCCTGTGTCTTCTATGTGCCAGGCCACGAGTTGGGTCCAAGCACAACATCGCACATGCTGGGTTTAAGTTCCCTGGAGGCTGGTGCTCTTATACTGCGGTTTCACGGAGGAGGAAAGAAGGCCCAGAGAAATTGGGTCAGGGAGAGCAGAGAAGACACTTGCCTTGCAATGTGCCCACCTGGGTTCAATTCCCAGCAGCCCCTCTGGTTCCCTGAGCAACTGCCAGGAGTATGTGATCCCTGAGTGCAGAGTTCGAAGGAAGAAGTCCTGAGCACCTCTCAGTGTGTCCCCCCCAAACAAATCACAATAATAATTATGGGGCTAGGTCTGGCTCACAGAAACGTGGGCGAGGCAAGGCGTAGGGGCTGTTCTTCCTATTATTCACAGAAAGATACTCAGATACTCATTGTGATAACTCCTGGCTTCTGTTGGGGCTGAAGCCTGGCCTCTGGGGTTCAAGACCCAACGAATTGAAACTGGGAAGTCAGGAGAAGCCTGGGCTTCAAGCCAAAGCTGGACTGTCAGTGCCTGAAACTGGGAAAAGTGGAGGACTCCCAGAAACCCTCACTCCAGAGAATGGGGAGGGCAGATGGTCTGGCTTCTGGGGAGAAGGAGACCCCCGACGACAAGCGTCTTTCTCCGTTGTGCAGTTCTCTTCATCACTCTGTGAACCCCAGGAACACCAATGCACCCTGATAACTCAAGGTCTCAATCAGGACTTAGTGGGATAGTGGGGGAGGGGAGCCGCAGTAGTGATGGTGGCAACTTTGACTGACTTCTGAGACCCTCTCCCTGGAGTGCCCTGGCGCCCCACTCCCATTTGCTCTGCACAATAGGAGGTTGCATCTCTCCGGTAAGTGGGGAGGAAGTACAAACTCCCCCACAAAATTTTTTGGGATACCTGTGGGATTGTCACAGGCCTCCCTCTCTGGTGTATGTGGCTTTCCTCTATATGAACTAAACGAGGACAGTGGGGCCCCCGGGGTGTGTGTGGGGGGCACCCGCCCTGTGTTTTGTCCCCCCTCCCCGCCCCCAGGCATCAAGCCGGGGCGGCCCAGGCTGGGGGGGGGTCCCCGCTGCGGCGCGGGGAACGCGGCGCGGCTGGCTGCGGGCGCCGAACGGTCCCTTTGTCCTGTAGAGGGAGCTCCAGCCCCAAATTTCCCGCTCGCGCCCCGCCCGCCTCTCCTGGCGGCGTGGGGGACCCGCATCCCCGCAGGATCGGTGCGCCGTGGCCCTCGCGCCGGGACTCCCCGAAAGCTGCGCCGTTTAGGGCACTCAGGCATCGCCCGAACTCGGATCCGGGGCCTTTACATTCGAGGCTGGCTACAATTCCCCCAAAGAAAAGAACGCGAAAGGGCGCAAATAAATAAATAAATAAATAAATAAATAAATAAATAAATAATTTTTAAAAAAAAGAACGAAAGGGCGCCCCTAGGCTTCCGGCTCCATCGCTGCCACCCCTTGCTCCTGGAGGGAACTGGACATGCGGTGTGGCTGGTCACCCGCTGCCAACTAGGCTCAAGGCGACCCTTTACATAAGCCCCAGCAAACCCCATTGGTGCCTGACTGAAAATGGGGCTCCCACCCTCACCCTGCGACAGGCCCTTCTCCAAGTCTCGGCCCAGGCCCACGCTGGCTCCCCTTGATCTGTGGCTGGGCCCAGGTTCCCAGCTCAGGTAGGGCACCTCGCCCCTTCGCACCTGTCTCCTCCAGGGTTCCAGCCCGGACAGGTAGGTTCTGCAGCCGCCTTGTCCCTCCCGGAGCCACATCGCCACTCCTCACTTGTCCCTGATTCCAGGATTCTTGCGACACCTGGTAGGACACTTGTCTGGCCTGTGCGAAGCTCTGAACTCGACCCCCAAGCACTGCAAATGCGGGAAGAGGGGTGCTGGGTGGGGGGGACCACGGGGGCAACAAAAACAAACCCAAACAGATCCATCCAGGTGCAGACAGGCACTTGTAGTCAAAGTGGCAACAGCTCATTTATTTAGCCAAAAATAGATACTTTCTTGTACAATTTGGTTCACACATATGTACATTTTTCTGTATATACAAAAGAAAGGGTCAGACACTCTTATTCTCACTGAAACTCCACCCCCCAAAAAATCAAACTCACAAACTCAGCTAATGTGGGGGAGAGAAGCCACTGGGGAGGGCTGAGGGGGAACTCGATTTATTTCTTTTTTTTTCTTTTACTTTTTTTTGTTTGGTTTTCTTTTGTAAATATTCATACACCGACATGCTTACAAGTCTTGACTATACAGAGCGTTTCTTCGTCTCTTTTCCTTTTCCTTTTTACAATTATTACAATGATTTAAAAAAAAATTAAAAAGAACTAGGACGAGGAGAGAGCCGACAAGACCAAAGCGGCATCCAGGTGGTTCTGGGGCCTGCAAGAGAGAAGCACTGGTAGCAACGGGTGGGGGTGAGCATGACAGCCCTGGGCCCGTCCAGGTCATGGACACCCTCTCTGGGGCGAGGGCCTGGCCAGGCCGGCTCTCCCGGTAAAACGACTCCCAGCCGAAGATGCTGGACTTCGGGCGTAATCAAAACGACCAGCCAGGCAGGAGGCCGCAGGCCCGTAGGCCCCAAGAGGAAGGGTCACGGGGTCCGGAGCCTTCCCACTGCCGGGGCCTGCGGGCCGGCCGGTTCGGGTGAGCCTAGGACGGTACCCTGGGTCGTCCGGGTGCCTGATCACCGGCTGCCGAACCTTCCCAGGCCCTCTGGGACGCCCCGGATTATAAACGGGTCTCGGCCGCCTTCCCCCAGAGGCAAAAGCCCAAATGGACGCCCCGTGTTCTCCCTCTGCCCCCGCCGCTCTCTCCACCCCCAAAGCCCCCCGCACCCCAACTCTTACCGACGCGGCACGGGTTGGAAAGCTGTCTTGAGTAACTTTTTCTCCACTTCCAAGGCACTACAGCGATCTAAGGGGAGCGGGGAGGAAAAGGAGGGCCTTTAGGGTGCGCGGGAGGAGCGCCCCGCGCCCTGGGGGGACCAGGCGCCCTGGGGAACGGCGCCAGGAGCCCCCGCCCTGGCCTCTCGGCCTGCCCAGGCGCGACCCCCGGAGTCCCCCCCCCCCCACCTCCTCCTCCCTCCTCCTTCCGCATTCTGCGCCCGGCAGTCACCTGTTCCGCCCTCGGGCTCCGCAGGCCTGGCGAAGGTGGCCGCGGCGGCGGCGGCGGCGGCAGCGGCGGCGGCGGCGGGGTGGCCCGCGGCTCCGGGAAGTCCCAGCAGGTGTGGCGGGGCCGAGCCGAGCAGGGAGAGCGGGTGCGGGCGGGGGCCGGGCGGCGGGCCCGGGAACGGCCGGTTGGTCCAAGCCGGGAACTTGCCCAGCGGCGCCGAGACCAGTCTGTGCGCGGCGGCGGCGGCGGCGGCTGCGGCGGCGGGCGAGAGCTGCAGGCTGGTGGGCGCGACGGCGGCGCCAGTGGGCGAGCCCCCCGCACCCGGAGGCGAGCGGCGCGGGTTGTCCGGGCTGGTGGCCGTCTCGGCCAGCGACCAGATCTTGGGTTTCTGCAGGGCGGCGGAGGCGGGCGCTGGAGCGGGCGCGCAAGGGTCCAGGCCCGCTGGGGGCGAGGGAGGAGACGGTGGAGCCGTCGCCACCGCGGGGGGCGCCGGGGCCAGACTCAGGATGGGCAGCGGACGCTCCTCCAGGCCCTCGGAGCTATCGTCCGAGTCGCTGTTGTTCTTGGAGTCTGAAATGGGCCCCAGGCCCAGCTCGCCGTCCCTGTGCGTCGCCCCGGCCAGGGCCAGCTCGGGCCCCGCGGCCGCGCCGTCTAAGTTCTCCAAATCGATCTCCTCGTCCTCCTCGTCGTCCGCCAAGCCCTCGCCTCCGGTGTCCTCCTCCTCCCCGCCGAGTTCCTCCTCTTCCAGCTCCAGTTCGCGTTTACCATCTTCTTCGTCCTCTTCCTCGTCCTCTTCCTCGCGTTCGCTCCCATAAGCGTTGCCCTCCTCGTCCGTGCGGCTGCGGGGCGCCCACGTCATCTTGTTCTCCTTCTTGAGGCGCCGGCGCGCGTTGGCGAACCAGGTGGACACCTGGGTGAGGGTCATCTTGGTGATGATGGCCAGCATGATCTTCTCGCCCTTGGTGGGGTAGGGGTTCTTGCGGTGCTCGTTCAGCCAGGCCTTGAGCGTGCTGGTGCTCTCGCGCGTGGCGTTCTTGGGACGGGACGGGTCCCCGAATTGGTACTGGCCGTAGGGGTAGAAGGCGGGGTGCGGGTGCGGAAACGCGGCGGCCGCGGCGGGATGCTGCACCCCGGGGCTGTCCTTCAGCTCATACTGCGCGCCCTGTACGCACACAGACAAGGAAGGGACACGCGTGGAGGGAGCGCGTGTGAGTCCTGGCCGCCGCCGCCGCCGCCTCCACCCGCCCGGCCGGCCCCCCGGCCTGGCTCCTTCCACTCCCGCGCGCTCACCTCGTCGGGCGCCCCCGGGTCCGGCTCCCACCTCCCCCGCACCCTGAGTTCGCCCCAGCCCCCGGAGCGCTTACCAGCTGCGGGAAGATGGGGAGTTCCGCGGCGTAGGGCAGAAAGGCGCCGTAGCCCTGGGCGGCGGCGGCGGCGGCGGCGGCCGCGGCATAGGGCGCCCCGTACACCGACGAGAGCACGTTGGACAGGGAGCCCGAGGCGGCCAGCTCCGAGGCGCCGGCCCCCGGGCCTCCGCGGGACCCCGCGCCGCCGCCGCCGCCCCCGGCGGCCCCTGGGCGCTCGGGCGGGTAGAGCGGCCGAATGTACTGGTATCCGAGCTGAGGGAAGGACATGGTGGCCCGCGGGGCACGGACGGAGAGGGGGCCCGGCCCCCGGGGCCGCCCTGCTCAGCGCCGCCCGCGGGCTCCGGCGCGCATCGGGGGCTGGGCCGGGCTGGGGGGCCGCGCTGCCTCCCGCGCTGCGCTGCGCTCCGCGTTCGCCTATTGATCTGCTCCGCGGCGGCGGCGGCGGCGGCGGCGGCGGCGGCGGCGAGGAGCCAGGTCAGGTCGGAACAGATTGGCGGCGATTCCCCGGGCTCCGGGCTCTGATTGACATTGCCACGGGCCCGCAAGCCCCTCCTCTCTGCGCCGCGCTCCCTCCTCTCGGCCGCCCGAGCCTCGCTCCTCGCCGCCCTCCTCTCCCCAGCACTGTCGCGCCTCGCTTCCTTCGCCCACCTCTCCTAGGCGCTCCCCCTCCGCGCCCTTCCTCTCTCCTCCTCCCCTCGCTGCGCTCCCCGTCCCCCCAGGACCGCTTCCGCTCCTGGGGGCGCCTTCACTCACCGGGACGCTTAGGAAAACTCTGCTCGCGCCTCGCTCTCCCTTTCCTCGCTAGTCCCCGCTCGCTCGCTCGCTCGCTCGCTCGCTCTCCCCGGACCTTTTCTTCCCTCTCTCCTTTTCTTGTCTTTCTCTCCCTCTCTGTCCTTTCCTCTCCTCGCCCTGAGCTCCCCACCTTACCCTCCCACCTCCACTCCCGGCCACTGCACCCCTGGGCTCAGGCGATCCAAAGTTGTGGACTCTTAGGGTGCTGGGGGTGTGGGTGTATGTGTGTGTGTGTGTGTGTGTGTCCGTATTGGTGTCTCCGTCTGTGTGTCCGTCCCCGCCCTCACCCCCTCCCTCGCCCTTCCCCAAATCTCGGGTCTGACGTAGCGCCCTCTTATTTGACTTTTCCTCGCGTCTCCTGCCCAAGTCGCCAATCGCCGGGGCGCCTGGCAGCCGAGGCCGCCCACCCCCGCGGAGAGCGCGCGCCGGACGGGGCGGGGCGGGGGCGGGCGCGGGGCGCTCGGGGCCCAGCCCGCCCCCTCCGGGAGGGGGCGCGGGAGCGCGGGGACGCGGGTGAGGACCGGGTCGGTTCGCCCCTCCCAGCCGCCCTCCCCGCAGCACCTCTGCGCCCCCGCACCCACGCCCCCGCTGCCGCCGTCGCCGCCGCAGCGCGGGGCCAGGGGTCGCCATCAGACCTGGGGCCCGAGCCCGGCGCGGGGGGGGGGGGGGGGTTCCTGTCCACCAGGCTCCCTTCCGCCCCCCCACCCCCAGACTTTTCAGCGGGCACCTCCGGGCCAGTCTCGGCCGAAAGTGCGCGCGCGGGGTGAAGGGGTGCGTTCCAGCCCGGTCTCCAAAGGCTGTTTCAAGCCCCGCGTGGGGTTAACGGCGGGGGGTGGGGGGCATGAGACAACTCCCTCCCCAGGAGACGCGAACCCTAAAACGAGTCACACCAACGGCGGCGCCAGGGTCCGGGAGCGAATCCCTCATTAGAAAAGGCGGGCCTGGCCCGGGGGGGTCACGGGTGGGGGCTGGGACGCCACGGGGGTGGGGGCCAGGAGCCGGCCCCTACGGGCGTGGGATGGGGGAGGAACGGGGAGCCCGGCTGCGGAGGAGGCTGCAGGAACTTTCGGAGAGGTCTTCCAGAAGTTTCTACATTGGCTTTTTTTTTTTTCTCCCCGGTCTGAGGTGTGCAAAGGCTTCATTTCACTCGCCCTTCCCCGGCGGCGGGTCTCAGCGCCAACCTGTTTTCCTCCCGCAAGGACCCTCCTGGGTCTCGGGTGCGGGATGGCTCGCAAGAGCCTGAGCTCCAGGGTGAAGGGGTCCCTCCCTTGAATCCAGCCTGCCCTCCCCGCACCCCGGGGCCCGCCTGCACCGACTAGGACGTGCTGTCCCCGCCGTGCGCGCGCTGGAAATTCCCGGAACGGCAGCGGCTCCGGGCGAAACGCTTTAGGCCGCGCCGGCGATCGCCGCACAGGCCCGGCCTGCAGCGGGCGCGTTCGGGGACGACACGGGGGCGGCGACTCCCGGTGAAGTTGGCAGCCCCGGCTCGCGGGCGGAAACGGGCCGCAGCGCGCTGATGGATGGAGGAATCGACTCCCAGTTGCACCCGAGCGGGCCGACTGGGGGAGCCGGGGTGCCCGTGTCTGATCTCTAGACCTCTGGGGAACTCAGTTCAGGGAAAGAAGGTTCAGACGCTCCTGCAAGCACCCAGCTTTGACACTCCCTCCCACCCGCCGCCCCTCCCCGTTTCTTCCAACCGGGTCGGCGGCTCCCAGGGTAGTGAATGGCTCAAACATTGGGACAAGACAAGGGGAAGGTTGTTTTTTGGGTTTTTGGTTTTTAGTGGTGGGGCATTCCAGTTTAGGGTTCCAATGGGGAAACTAACGCCTAGCCTTCTTAGACGGGGTCAGTCTGCACCTGTGTGCCCTCCCCACCTGCTTATACCTGGTGGCCCGCGCTCGAGCCTCCAGGGAGGAGGGGGTAGCAGAATTAACTCTGACTTTGAAATGTTTCCCCGGCGCCTGATTTCGTTTCCAGTGAAACTCTGGACAAGAGGCATGCGCTCACCTTCTCGCGAATATTCTCAGGGTTACAAAAGTGAGGGTAAACATTCATTCCCGGGCTGTTTTCCTAAGTGTCAACCCTCGAGCCTCGATGGCCCAGCGTCCTAGCGTTTGCACTGAAGTGTTGACATGAGACTAGGGTAGTGCCAAAGGCGATAGATAGTCCGAGTTGGGGGAGGGGTGTGAGGAACCTGGGCTGCACCGCCAGTGCCCAGCCCGGATGAGACGCTGCTCTTTGATTTTTTTTTTTTTTTGATTTGCCTCTCCCAGAAGGACAAGAGAAAACAATAAGGCCCGGAGATGCTTCTTCCACATTAGCCAGTTATCGACCTAGTCGCGTTGAACTGCGGGAGGCGAGAAGCGAGGTCAGGGAAGGGGCTAGGCGGTTCTCAGGGATCCAGGCAGGCCGGTCCAGAGGCGCCTATGGCCCAGAAAGTGAAGAGCCTCTAGACCCAGGTGCGGACCTAAGAACTTCGATTAATTAGTTCCCGCCAGGTACCCAGGTTCCAAGCAGAAGTGGCCCTCCCAGCTACCCTCGTCTCCAGCCCTAACTCGGTCCTGGTCGTCCCCGCGCCCACGTCGGAACCCAGGCGAGCCCCGACGTGGAGCTGGCTCCCCAATTCCACCCGGCCAGCCGAGTTCGGCTCCCAAGAGCTGAACCTTTTTCACAGTTTTTTAAATCCGAGAGATTGGGTCAAAGACACACTCGCCCCGGGAGGAAAAGCAGGTGCACGTAAAGTTGATTTGGGAAAGCCATGGGCACACCGGGGCGCGCCGCACGCAAAAGCCGCTCCGTCTCGCTCCATCCTTGCGCCTTCTTCCCACGTTGCCAGCGCACAAAGCGCTTGGGAGGTTCGCGGTCGACGGTCTCTGAACGCGGCCCGGGGTGCGGGAAGTGCACGGAGAAGGTGTCTTTGGGCACGCACTTGGCGTGCACAGCCGCGCTCAGCAGACGCGCGCGCGGAGAGCCGCGGCCCGACGTGTGTTCGGGGCCCGCGGCCCGCTGGGCTTTGGGGAGCCGCGTGGCGCGGCGCTCCAGCCTCGGGGCTCCCTTCCTTCCCTCTCCTCGCCCAGACCCCCGGCGCGCGCCCGTCCCGTCGGGGGGCGCCGCGGCAGTCGTTGCTTCTCCCCCGCGGAGGCCCGTCTTCTGTCCTGCTCTCTCTCAGGCCGGGAATCCCCGGGCTGCGGCGAGGACCCGCGATCCCTCAGCTTCCTGCAGACGCCGCCGCGGCGCACGCTCCCACCGCTCCCTCCCCCCGCGCTCGGGTTACAGGTTAATGAAATGCTCGTTTTCCTCAGTCATTTGTTTTGTTTTCCTGCAAAGTTCTGATAAGTAGCTAACCAACGAAGCTTGTAATTACAATCTTACAGAAACCGGGCCGATCTGTATATAAATCTCACCATCCAATTACAAGATGTAATAATTTTGCACTCAAGCTGGTAATGAGGTCTAATACTCGTGCATGCGATAATCCCCTCTGGATGCTGGCTTGATCAGATGTTGGCTTTGTAATTAGACGGGCAGAAAATCATTATTTCATGTTCAAATAGAAAATGAGGTTGGTGGGAAGTTAATTTCTCTCCGCTCTGTGAAGCGTAGACAAGAATTTAATGATTTAATTACAGTTGTAAGCCCTTTCCATGAGACTTAAATTGAGCTGAGAATATTTTTCCTCTCTCTCTCTCTCTCTCTCTCTCTCTCTCTCTCTCTCTCTCTCGTTCTTTCTCTCCGCTATTAGCAGCCGATGGGCCCTCGGAGTACGTGGCCTGCGCCCCTTGGAGGGAATTCTATCTGGCCGGGAATCCGGACCCCGACGATCCCAGGATCGCAACCTGCTGTCGCTCCCCACCCGCCGCAGGGCCTCGGACCCTCTCCCTGAATTCTGAGGAGCGTTGGGAAACTTTGGGGGAAACTTTGCCAACTTAGCTCTCAGCGAGACGGCTGCGGGCCGGGACGCGCCGGGTGGTCGCGCGCACCAAGGCCCCGCACCCGGGCGCGCCGAGCAGACGCACCAGGAGGACGCAGGCAGATGGTAGCGCACGGGCCCTGGCGTCCCCGCTCGGTCCCGGCGCCCCAGAAACCCGCGTCTCGCCGAGCCCAGGAGGGCTTAGAGGGGAAGACCGGTCCTCGGCTGGCGCCGCGTCCTCGCCCCCTCTCCCTCCCCTGCGGACTCGCTTTCCCACCTGCCCCCACGCTGGTCCACTCCCTCCTCCGCCTTTGTTTTATTCTCTCGGCCCTTTTGCTTCTCGCACTTTCCATCTATTCGATTTCTAGGTCTTTCATTTTCCTAGTTTCCTAGTCTTTCCTCGGCTGGCTTCCTCATTCGCTGGCTTAATTTATCCCCCTCCCCTCCCAACCCCCAGCCTTCCCCAATCTGGGCCGCTTGCTTTTATTTCTTTATTAGTTCTAAACTTCACTTTTCTCAATTTGGCTGTCTCCCTCCCTCGTCTCTTGCTCTGCATCTTTCCCCCTTGTCCCCTCATTCGATCTGCGTCTCTCTCCCCGCCCTCTCTTCTCTTTCTTCCCCCGATTTCCTTCTGGGTTTCTGAGCGCATCTCTCAGGGTCTCTGCCTGCTCATTCTCTCTCCTCCTCTTCCTCCCCAGGACCCGTCGCCCCCGTGGCTCTGCTTCGCGGTGGCGCCCCCGCCTCCTCCATCTGGGGAGATGAACATGTCGCCTTATTGGTCGCCGAGGCCGGAGCCCGGTGATGGGGCTCGGCCAGCGAGCGCCTTTTCTTCCTGCATATTGAGGAGATGGTAATGAGCGCGTTTGCATTGTTGCATGGAAATGCTCCGTTTCCTGCCGCAGTGCAGTTCCGAGCGGGCAAAAGGGTGGGGGGGGGGGGGACGGGCTTCAGAGAGCGGGTCAGTGGGCACTCGGCCTGGTCGCCACAGCTGGCCCCTCGGGGTTCACGAGTGCTGGGCTGGGCCCGGACGCGAGTGACCTTGCCTAGCGCTAGGCCAGGCCAAAAACGCAGCCGCTGCCTGCTTGGGTCACTCCACTAAGGAGGCCAGCGTGCCCCTCATGAAAGCCTCGTTAAGGCAACCCCCGCTTTGCTGAGACACTTCCTCAGTGCCCTAGTCAGTGGGGCTCTGAGCTTCCATTCCCTTATGT